GGCCATCTACAAACCTGGACAAACGAGTAAGCGTTATCTATACCAGTAAGCGTTATCTATACCAGTAAGCTGTATCTATATAAATAAGCTTTATCTACGCAATAAGTTTTATCTATACGAGTAAGCTTCATCTATACAAGTAAGCGTTATCTAAACAAGCAAGCTTTATCTATACGTGAAAACTTTATTCATACAAGTATGCTTTTTTCTACGCAAATATGCTTTATCTATACAAGTAGGTTTATCTACAAACACGGACAAATCAGCAAGCTGAGCTTTATCTACAAACACGGACAAATCAGCAAGCTGTATATAAAAAATTGAAAAATCCTGCAAGCATTATCTATACAAATAGCTTTATCTACAAACACGGACAAATCAGCAAGCTGTATATAAAAAATTGAAAAATCCTGCAAGCATTATCTATACATATAGCTTTATCGACAAACACGGACAAATCAGCAAGCTGTATATAAAAAATTGAAAAATCCTGCAAGCATTATCTATACAAATAGCTTTATCGACAAACACGGACAAATCAGCAAGCTGTATATAAAAAATTGAAAAATCCTGCAAGCATTATCTATACAAATAGCTTTATCTACAAACACGGACAAATCAGCAAGCTGTATATAAAAAATTGAAAAATCCTGCAAGCATTATCTATACAAATAGCTTTATCTACAAACACGGACAAATCAGCAAGCTGTATATAAAAAATTGAAAAATCCTGCAAGCATTATCTATACAAATAGCTTTATCTACAAACACGGACAAATCAGCAAGCTTTATATAAAAAATTGAAAAATCCTGCAAGCATTATCCATACAAATAGCTTTATCTACAAACACGGACAAATCAGCAAGCTGTATATAAAAAATTGAAAAATCCTGCAAGCATTATCTATACAAATAACTTTATCTACAAACATGGACAAACAAGAACATTTCATACAAACCTGGACAAACAACTTAATCTTGACAAAACTTTATTTCATTTTACAAAATTTTATCAATACAAGTAAGCTTTTTCTACGATTCTAGATAAACATTTAGCCTTTATCTACAAACCTGGACAAACAAGCAACTTTTTCTACAACATTGTACAAACAAGTGAGCATTATACAAACTTGAAAAATAGAGAGGCTTTATCTATTCAGGTAGGCTTTTTCTAGAAACCCGGACATATAAGGTAGTAAAATCCAAATGATCTGTCATACCCAAAAAAGCAAGTTACATGTAGCTGTATAAATAAGTACTAGCTTTACGTACAAACCAAGAAAAAGGTAATCTTTATCTATTTGCCTGAACAAAAAATTAGCTTTATATAAATGACCTGTCAAACCAGGCAAACAGTTAAGTTTTATATATACTGTAAAAGCAGAAATATTTGTTTGGATTTAATTTCGTTTATTTCGTTGTTAACAATTGACTACTTAATTAAATCCCTCACGAAATGTTTATATGATTGTATATTGAGTGGGGTGCTTTTGAAACAATGAAATTAAATGTCCAAAAAACCTTTTTAGATGACAAATCAACGAAATTTTATCCCCGCGAAAATTTGTGCTTCTACAGTATATCCGGACAAAAGTTATCCTTTTATTTTTTTTATACTAAAATCGACTAGGGATAAGTCTGCCTACTTGCAATATGTATATATATATATATATATATATATATATATATATATATATATATATATATATATATATATATATATATATATATATATATATATATATATATATATATATATATATATATATATATATATATCCGTATAACGAATTTCTTAAAGAATACATATCGCATGCGCAATATAGATTTTTTTATTCAAGTATAATGACTAAAATGTATTTCGGGACGTAGAAAATACAAAATTTTACCTTGGAGTTCAAAAGTTTCAAATGAATTGAGTTTCAAATACAAATACTTACAAAATTAATTTCAATTTAATGTTAAAAAAGAGATTTTTGATAATTCACTATCAAAGATGTAAATTTCATTATTTTTAATTTCTAGGGGATATACAATCAGTTCACTATAACCTTAAATTCGCTATATATGAATTCGTTATATCTGTAAGATTTTACAAGGAATTTTAAAAATTTGGCCGGGAATTACAAAAAACTTTGCTATATCCGTAAATTCGCTATATCTGTGTTTTACTATATATATATATATATATATATATATATATATATATATATATATATATATATATATATATATATATATATATATATATTAGGGATGTCAACGAGTACCCGGTTAACCGGGTACTCGATCGAACGTCCGAGTATCGAATATGACGGGTGAAGTTGTAAATACTAGTATCAAGAAATAAACTACTTAACTTTCAGACTTATCACAAGAAAACATTTGGAAATGTAAATAATATATATACGACCCGCGATCAGGAGTCAACGTCTATTCCCAAAAATATTCTCTTTCACTAGTCTAATCATTACAAACGTTGATAAAAATGTCTTCCTAAACAACTGTAAAGCATGAATTTTGTAATTATTTATTATTAATTGATCATGACTTGTGTGTTTGTTTGATACATAAATTAAGCACCACAAAATCGTTTTCGTTGGGCTCGATGTTTATATACATGTATTTTAAATGGAAGAAAACATCGATAGGATAAACAGGTCTCAATAAAATCAACAAACTCTTACATGTATACACACTTTTTTCGAGTAGCCGGGTACTCGATCGGAAAATCGTCCGAGTAACCGATTATCAAATATTGACCGATTTGACATCCCTAATATATATGTGTGTGTGTGTGTGTGTGTGTGAGGGTGTGTGTGTGTGTGTGTGTGTGTAAGTCATCAACGAAAGACGTCGCTTTCATAAATAAATACCAGAAGTCTAAAACTTTATTATATCAACAAGGTTCATGGTTAAACCAAAAACTACATACATGTTACTATCGGATGTGATTTTTATCGAATAAGTGTTTTTTCTATCATCATGACTTTAGCGAGGAAAGAAAACGACACAAAAAGAGAAGAATCTATCTGAACACAATGAAAAATGTAATAATTTTTTAATTAAGATATATAAAACGTCAAAGCTTATAACTGTTTTGAAATTGCTTTTGTTTTCATCTACAAATTAGCAATCTGTATATAGTATTATCTCATTTCCTGAACATTATAAAGTAATTGCAAAATTAGTGTCAATGATTTTACCTTCACTGTTAAGACTTTAATCTTCGATTTTCATGAATTAACTCATGAACTTCATAAGATTGTATGCTACACGAGAATGTAAAGTTTCGACAATAAAAATATATCCAATAACTGGAAAAGAATTAATTAAAGTGAAGTTGTTTTTCAGAGTTTGTTCCAATTTTCCATTCAATATTGTATCTGTATTTTTATATTTTCTTTTCTTCAGTTCATTTTCGCGTTTTTGGATTTTACCAAGACCTTTCCATTGTGAATAAAAATATAGATGTAGCAATTTTCGTAAGTACCTGAAAATATCTAAATAAGATTATAGGGGTTAAGATATTCTATTGATTATGTCTTACAACATTTTAATTGTTTTCCTCAATTTAATAAGGACCCTCTTGGAAATAAAATGGCTGAGTGGAAAAACAAAGTTCCTGATAATGGAGTGTTTACAGATAGTTTAGTTATGTCCGACCATCCGGTACTAGGGGAGTGGAAGATAAAAGCTCTACAAGGGGTGAGATAGCTATAGGCTCTTATTTGCTTTTTTCCTCGCTTGTCTCGTAACTGGTATGTGTCCATGACAAATATAATCTTTTATTTCATCAAAGTGTAGGTATGTAATATTAAGTAAGTGAAGTTAAAATCAATAAGGATTTCTTTAACTTTGATTAAAAACATTTTTTTGTTAACAGATTGAGACTTAATAATAAATGTTTTTACATTGACATTTAATTTCATTATTCTCAGTGAAACCTGACTTAATAAATATGTGGTTTATAATATAAACATGTGATTTTCTCGATCTGTTCGACTATATTCTTTGTATTTTTAAACTGATCACATTATTTTTGTCAAATTTCCGTAGACTAGAAAACATACCTTAGAATACCAGAAAGCAATTTGAGATGTCCTCATTATTTTCTAATTTCGTTTGATATTTACCTAAATTATGAGAACATAAACATGTTACCCTTCCGGATAAACTCTTTGACTTATAACATCTCCCTAACTACATACCCAGAGTAAGTGAGAAATGTCATGCTGAACAAAGTGCTTCTATACATATATTATTTTGATTTTTATTTGGAAAAAAAATCTTTAAAAAGTCTCGGAAAAGTTATTAATTCCAACCATGGAATTCAGTTTGTAATTTTCATGGATTGAGCGCATACAAGTTCTACTAGCGCGGGAAATTGATTGCAAAGATAAGCTAAATTGAATACATGATTTAAGGAGATATTCTAAGTACAACAGGAGATAATCAAGCCACGTATTCAAATGAATACTGTGCACATTTTGTTCAATTATATAAGGGTTTGCAAAAAAAATGCAGTGCTAGTGTTATGAACTTCCCTTTTCTTTAATAATGTACAAAATTCCCAAACATAGAGAAAATTTTAAAATATTTTTAAATAGTTTGTGATCATATAGGCATTTGCTTCTCAAAGTAGATACAATGAAAAATAACACCTCAAGCCAGTTTACAGAAAGCTGCCAACTCATCTGAAATAAATTAGAAAGCCACTTGCAATATGATCACCAATGTTTACCTCCGGTGAAAAATAAATTCGTCTCCATTGTTTTAATATAAATACTTTATCTTGTCTTAATATATCTTCAGATATAACTCGTTTAATCAGCTTTTCAACATCTAAAAAGATTTTTTTTACAAATAGAACAAAATTTACTTTTTTACAATTTATTAGATATTATACATAGGGTAATTATAAATGTTTATATTCATTTATTGTCTAGTTATCACTGAGACAGCTATTATATAATTATGATAAAAACGTATCCATTTCAGACTGAAACTCACACTAAGACAGTGACTGTGGATGAATATGGTAAAATAAATTTATATTTAATAAAACTAAATATTAATGATTTTTTTCTTTTAGGAAAATGGAAATGCATTTTGTATTGTTTGCATTCGTATTTTCACCTACGAAATTGAAATATATGTGTAGAGAATAAATGGAACAAAATTTATTTTTCCGTAAGCATCTTTACTCCATTTGTCAATCAATTTCTTTTTTATATTCCGTTCCGGTAAAGCTTACTATTTGTTTCTTAATTTTAACATTTTAATTCTTGTGTTTTTGCCTAACGTTAATGTGAATTTGAAACTGTGAGGAACATATTCCATATTTGATGATTATAATTTAATGGATTATATGTCTTGTTTGTGATACTGTGTATGCATTTAAATTACTTATTGTAAAATCATCAATTATCAATTGTAATAAATGTCCCTTTTCTTCGTTTCTGAATCCCCTCATATGAAATGTTAACGTTGAAAAAAAAGCAAAACACTGCGTATTAAATCAATTCAAAAAACTTTCTTGAACTGCTTTGAAATATAACTCGTATAACATAAATATTGCCATAATCATACATAAGGATTATATTTAAAATTATTTGTACATTACATCATTGAATTATTTTGACTGCTGATATTTTAGTATTGCCAAAGTTTGATGTGACGTTGGAACTTCCACCATACGGAGTGAGCAATAGAAGTTTAACAAGTATTAAAGTTATTTCCACGTATGTAGGCTTATATATAAAAAAAATACAATCAAATTTTAAAAAAAGATAATAGTTTTCTAAAAAATCATTATGAACAATCTTATTTATCAGTAAATGAATTCCATTAATAACATTGAGTTTTAAAATAATGCCTACTTCCTTTGCTGCATTCACCGTAAGTCTGCTTTATTTCAACAATATAAATAAAAATATATATTTAATCCCTAGATACACATTTGGTAAACCAGTAAAAGGAATGGTTGACATCAGAATCCGTTCGCCATATATCGACTTTTCTTCAGTGTATCAGCAACTCAGGCAATGCCAAGGGCATATTGATGAGATTTTTCATCGTGCCCCAGTAAGTTGTTTTTTCCCTACTTTGTATTCATTATTTAAGCACCGGTAAAACGTCTTTAGAATTAATTAAGGTGATTCCACCCTCGTGTGACATCAGGGGCTCGCAAAATCTTCCACTGAATAAAATTCTTCAATAAAAGAAGTAAATAATATGTAGAAATCCTGTTATATAGTCACAGTAAAGAAATCATGTTTTGTAAAATACAATAATACGCAATAATGTTTCGTGTATTCCATCATTATTTTTTAATTATAAAAAAAGGTACTAAATCTAACGTATATTTCTTCATTCATGCATTTCCTTTATAATATCCCTATCAAATATGGGTTCTCAAATATTCAAATTTAATATATTTTTTGTAACAGTAACAAGAAACCGTATTGTTAGGCCTTTGTTTTATTTTATACTAAATTTAATACAAAATGCTCTGTCTACTTGATCAATACATGGGGCTCACGGTGGGTGTGACCGGTCAACAGGGAATGCTTACTCCTCCTAGGCATCTGAGCCCACCTTTTCGGGGATCCGTCTTTATGCCCTCTTCACATATTTGTATTGTTTGTAATTTTTATGAGATCGATCACTGTTCGTTATCTTCGCCTTTTCATTTAGTTAAAATCTAATGTCATTTGAATTTTCTGATATTGACAGAGACTACTTTTCATTTCTATCTGATCTGAAAAATGTGGTGATATTTACATTTTTTCTAATTATTAAGTATATCAAACTATGTTAAATGGAAAAATGCTGTTTTCTTATTTTTATATGAGGATGAAGATATACCTTTATATCTAAAAGGAAATCGTCAAAAGATCCTATAAAAGAAAATTGGTAGAAAAAACATGTAATTGTTTATACAACGACCGTTGAACTTACATCTTTGAATACATGTTCCGAGTGTATTTCACTTGATAAAATGACAGCTATTTATCAAAAATATCTCTTTTCTTTGTCTTTATTTCATTATATATATATTATTTTTCTCTATTATTTCAAGCTCTCTGATTGGCTAAAACATGATTACATGATTAAGTATATAACAACATATAGACGTGTTACTATTTAAAGATTCTGAAATGCATATCGACCTGATATTTCTAAAAATAGAAATAATCTTCTTTGAAAACAATGGTGTTGATTTTACATAGCTAATATAATTTGATGTTTTAGGAGATAAAAAGAGAAACTTTAATTCTAACTATGTAAATTATTTCAATCATCTGCACTTTATGTAATAATTTTTTAGAGGTAAAATATTATATTATTATTGATATTTATTGCTTACGCTTTTGTTTATTATTTCTTTTATCCGATAAATAGCCCTAAAACATTTCCAAAATTATAAGAGATACAAATTCATAATTTAAAATTTCCCTTTTATTTTATCTTTTTATCATGTATAGTTTACGCAATTTTGAGAGAATGAGACAGTGTGTGATTTACTACTTGTCGTAAAAATTAGCGATAATTAATTCGTTCAATTATGTAAATCGCATTTCACCACAGTACATTCGACAGACCGGACGTATTTCATAGCGGTCCGGATTTCTTTCTTTTCTATTGGTTATAAACTTTCAAATTAAACTTGTAATATTGTAAATATATAGTGTTTGGTAGTTTAGTAGTACATATAGTGCTGGTTGTTTTGTTTTTTTTTTTTTTGTTTCTTTTTCCTTTGTTTTTATGATTTTTTAACTTTTTTATTTGTCCTGAGGAATATATATATATATAGATATAGATATAGATATATATCTCCAAAAAATGAAAAGAAATATCACAGTGTCCGGTAATTAATATGATTATATATTATATATATGATTATATATATATATATATATATATATATATATATATATATATATATATATATATATATATATATATATATATATATATATATATATATATTATTTATTTATATATATATATATATATATATATAAAAGAATATATATATATATAAGTATATCTATAAAACTGTAAAGCTCAAATTTTGTTTTATTTTGAAGATAGATGGCCAGTATAAGTTTGATGTTGAGAACTCGAAACTTAAGAGCCTGATGGAGATTTTAGACTACATATTAGATTACAGAAGCCTATTATTTGAAGTGAATGTAACTGAATCGATAACTGGTTTACGCCAAAGTGCATCTGGTACTGTTACATTCTATCCAACTGAAAACAAATTATAGTTCCTTGAGTCTCTTCCATCAACATTTAAACCTGGACTTGACTTTACAGTAGTGGTGAGAGACTAGAATGTATTTAAAGAGTTATTGTAATGAATAAATAAAAGATACCGCTGAAAGAAATTTTGTTTTTTAAAACAGATAACTTTTAAAACTTATATTAAATCATAAAATGTGGTCATGTTTATGGTAGAATAAGTTCCTAATGTATCTTATATAAGGTTTTGTATCTAATACAGGGCAGATTGACCAGTCAAGATGACAAAACAGTTTCCCTCCAAAATACCTCGAGGGTGAAGCTGACTGTAACCCACACCGTCCCCCTCCTCTCCGACAGGTCCAACACTACCATGACGTCAGATTCAGGCCTACCAAGTGAAAATACAACGATGATTAATATGAATTCAGAAAACACAGCGGAACAGCAGGAAATAGGGACGGAATTGGTCAGCTTTTTGGAAGATGTGGTACACAATTCTCTAGTGAGCGATACTATAGAAAGAACCATGAAACCAGTCTTTCTTGACATTGACGCCAATGGAATTTTCAAACATGAAATAACAATTCCTGAAGAAACTAAAGAAATATCCGTGAAAGTAAGTTATCATGCAGACTTTTGCAATTTTCTTTGTAAATAACTTCCATTTCAAACGCCTAATCCTTGTTGTATGTTCTGTTAAAGCTTACCCATTCATTACTCATTTCAGGCAGAGTACAATAGTTTGTCTGCTTACCTTCTTCGACTGCCTAGTAAATCACCAAGTAACTCCTTCATGCAAGTCAAGCTTCTCAACACAGACAGGAAACCAAAGGTTTTCATTCTTATTTCCTCGCTCTGGATTTGTTACTTATTTACATCAAAAGAATCTATCTATATATTCAACATTCATTTGAGGTTGATTTTAGTCTTTTCGAAAAGCTTAAAGATTTACGGACTGGTCGATGACATTATGCGACATGCATGTAGTAAATTGTTACTCATACATCGCTTTAAGTCTAGTCAATATATATAGTATCTAGAGATAGGCATTATCTTTTCATAGACTATTATGATGCATCATTTGAGTTTATTCCCTAAATATCATTGCTTTTTTATTCCAACTGTAATGGTTATGGCTAGTCTTTATGATATCTCATTACTTTATATTTGAACAAATACTACGATCCCATCACAGGACGTGGAGATCGGTCCTTTGGATAAGACCGTATAAACCTGTAAACCGAAGTCCCCTTTCGCAGTAGGTGCTGGCACGAAAAAGATCCCTCACTGACAAAAGCCCTGAGTGCCGAGTACAGGTCTAAATTTAATTTGCAGCCCTCCACATGCCAATGATGGCTTCTCAATACGAGTGAAATATTTTTAAAGGGACGCTAAACAACAAGCAAACAAATACTATGATCCAGCTTAATAATCCAGACAGAAACTATTGTGTCAACTTTCCTTATTTATGAAGTAATATCCCGCTTTTACCTGCATTTGGTGTTTACATCTCCCAAGTTATTCGCTACTCAAGAGCATGCTCCGAGTACGATCAGTATTAAAACCGAGACAGGCTACTGACAGATGAGTTGATCTTACAGGGATTTCAACAACCTCGTGTAAAGACAGCATTTCGTAATTCTATGGTCGTTACAATATAACCTAGCATTGAGCCGTATTTTGGCTGACTTGTTACACTAAATTTGACTACGTAATATTCCGTCTACCTGCTCAATACGTAGGACTCACAGCGATTGTGACCGGTCGACCGGGGATGCTTACTCATCCTAGGTACCTGATCCCACCTCTGAATTTTCATTCATTTTCTGAAGGTCCGTGTATAGCACTCTTCAAGTTTTGTATTGTTTTTTAATTTGTTTTTTGAGATGGATCCCTGTTTGTTCTTTTAACTAATCAAACACAGGAAATGTAAACCATCATATGTTTTATTAATTTATGTATCACTAAGATTCATTTTTTATTATGACACTTATATCAGTAATGTACAAACATAATGAATGATCAGCTTTTCTTTATTGGTGGTCGTCATCTCTATTTCTCTATTGTATGTCCCTATGTCCTGACTATCTTTTCTGAACAAGTGTATTGGTGGTTTGTCATCTCTATTTCTTTATTGTTTGTCCCTATGTCCTGACTATCTTTTCTGAACAAATGTATTGGTGGTTTGTCATCTCTATTTCTCTATTGTATGTCCCCATGTCCTGACTATCTTTTCTGAACAAGTGTATTGTTGGTTTGTCATCTCTATTTCTTTATTAATTGTCCCCATGTCCTGACAATCTTTTCTGAACAAGTGTATTGGTGGTTTGTCATCTCTATTTCTCTATTGTATGTCCCTATGTCCTGACAATGTTTTCTGAACAAGTGTATTGGTGGTTTGTCATCTCTATTTCTCTATTGTTTGCACTATGTCCTGACAATCTTTTTCTGAACAACTGTATTGGTGGTTTGTCATCTCTATTTCTTTATTGTTTGTCCCCATGTCCTGACTATCTTTTCTGAACAAGTGTATTGGTGGTTTGTCATCTCTATTTTTCTATTGTATGCCCCTATGTCCTGACAATCTTTTCTGAACAAGTGTATTGGTGGTTTGTCATCTCTATTTCTCTATTGTATGTCCCTATGTCCTGACTATCTTTTCTGAACAAGTGTATTGGTGGTCGTCATCTCTATTTCTCTATTGTTTGTCCCCATGTCCTGATTATCTTCTCTGAACGAGTGTATTGGTGGTTTGTCACCTCTCTTGTTTGCCCTTATGTCCTGACAATCTTCTCTGTATTGATTCTGTAATGGACCTATACACTACGTGTATACGTCCCTGGTTCTGTCTGTCATATCCCTCGTCCTACCATTTGTCTGACGGTTATCTCAGTATAGGTGGTGTCTGTCAAATCAATCGTCTGACCCTACGTCTTGACAATCTTCTCTGTATTGGTATTATCTCTCATATCGATTGTCCGACCGTAAGTCTACACTATCATTTCTTTCTTGGTAGTTTGTTATATCCTTATCCGCACTTACATTCTTCTTATTATACCCCCCCCCCCCGCTTGAAAAGTGGGAGGGTATATAGTGATCGGGGTGTCCGTCTGTACGTCCGTCCGTCTGTCTGTACGTCCGTCCGTCCGTCTGTTACGCTTTGGGGTTCCTTTCTCTTATCCGCAACTCCTCTTATACCACTGAATGAAATTTAATTAAACTTCCACAGAATCTTTGTTACATAGTGCCATTGTGACCACCTTTTTTACTTTCTGATCTGCCACTTATTTCGGGTCTCCCAGTGCAAAACATGGACTTTGCCATTATAATCATTTAGTGAGCTCAGTGTTCACAGTACCTCTAGTTTTTTTATGTCATATCCACTAGTTACATTTTTCATTAAACAAGATTTTAAAAATAATCAAAAGAAGGCCCATAATCAAAAGAAAAAATGGTGTAAAAATTGGTTCATCTGAACCGTTTTCTATATGTTTATTCTTTCATTATTTTGTTTTCTTTCTAGGCTTTTTCTTCAGTACCACAGTGCCTATATTAATCAAACTTGCCACAAAATTCCCTTGAGTAAAACGAATTCGAATTCAGAAAAAGAGATAATCAGATAAACACACAAAACGGTGGAGCATTCTAAAACTCTTCATCACAAAAGAGCCCAAAAAGACACGAAAATACTAGTATGTGATCATCTAAAAATCTCCTCAAAAAGGATTCATTTGAACATATTCGAATCTATACTACCTGAGGATACTCCCAAACCAATATGACTAACAATAGCTTTGCTGTTCTCGAGAAGATTTTTAAAGATACTTTCCTATATATATATTCCTATGTTAAACGTATATGAAAGGTTCCTGAAAAATATATATGTATAAGATTTTAAAAAATGAAAAAAATTCTAAATAACCATATATCCTTGATTAGTCTTATTGATATGATATCAGTATTAGGTAGCACAAATATTATGTTTGTACAAATCAGTTTTCCCCCTCAAGATGAATATTGATTCAATTTTGGCTTAGTCTTAACCCCTAAGGGCCAGGGTAATGCCAGTGGTAAAATAATTTTCAATCACCAAATAATCAGCAGCTCCAAGGTGACGTTAGTGAGCGTTGAGGCCCATGGACCTCTTCTTGGAGTGTTTAATTTACAAAAGAGTGTTATTTTTGTAAGGATTATTCAACTTAATTTTTTAGACAGGAAGCTTTAAGTACTCTTTTTTCGTTTATGTTTGTAGGAGAACGGTTTAGCTGTTCTTACGGACGCCCCGATTTATAAAAACGAATATCCTAGTAAGTATGTTATCCCATTTCTGTTAATTTTATGAATAATCGAGTTTGGTTACATGTTATCGCTGATAATGTGTTCAAGAGATAAATTATTTATATTTAACATAGTAATGATAAAATAAAAACGACAGTAGAATATTATCAATATTATTAATATTGATGTTAGTTCATTGTTATAAATATTAATATTATTAATATTTATCTACGACTTTGTTTATCTTATATATAATTCAATTTTATGCATAATGTGATTTTTTTTTTTAAAAAATGAAGAAATCTGATAAATTGAGCAAACTGAAAATATAAACAGTATTACGTACATTCTGTGCATCTGGCAGAACGACAAAGTAAAATTTTACAGATTTACAAACTTGATCAATAAGTTAATTACTTAGTATATGCAAATTCAAGATTAAGAGTATTGTCCTTCTTTGTCCATTTTAGTTTTTGCACGCTTAATCCACCAAGGAACAAGAAAATATTATTTCCGATCTCTTGTTGCAATTTCCTTCCAGTTAATTAGTCCAAGGGATAAAACAATTCCATTTGCCATGATTAGAATGGTCCAAAAATAATACTTGATCTAATTTAGTTTATTTATCTACAAGTCAGTTCTTTGAAAATTCATCTTTTAAAATGAATAAACTAACAGAATAGACCCTTCGTCTGATATTTTTGAACAAGTCGTCTTCAATGACAAGAGGCCCATGGGCCACATCGCTCACCTGAGTAACTTTGGCCATGCTGTTCTTTACCAGATTTCCCCCTTGTAATACCTACTGTGGCCCCGCCCTACCCCAGGGATCATGATTTGAACAATTTAAATTCTACACTACCTCAGGATGCTTCCAAATAAGTTTCAGCTTTATTGGTCCAGTGGTTCTTGAAAAGAAGATTTTTAAAGATTTTTCTTATAAAATTCAATGTAAAACTTGGATTCCCTATTGTGTCCCGCCCTACCCCCAGGGGTCATGATTTGAACAATGGATGCTTCCACTTAAGTTTCAGCTTTTCTGGCCCAGTGGTTCTTGAGAAGAAGATTTTTCAAGATTTTTCCTATATATTTCAATGTAAAACTTGGATTCCCTATTGTGGCCCCGCCCTACCCCCGGGGTCATGATTTAAACAATTTAGATTCTACACTACCCCAGGATGCTTCCATTTAAGTTTCAGCTTTTCTGGCCCAGTGGTTCTTGAGAAGAAGATTTTTCAAGATTTTTCTTATATATTTCAATGTAAAACTTGGATTCCCTATTGTGTCCCGCCCTACCCCCGGGGGTCATGATTTGAACAATGGATGCTTCCACTTAAGTTTCAGCTTTTCTGGCACAGTGGTTCTTGAGAAGAAGATTTTTCAAGATTTTTCCTATATATTTCAATGTAAAACTTGGATTCCCTATTGTGGCCCCGCCCTACCCCCGGGGTCATGATTTAAACAGTTTAGATTCTACACTACCCCAGGATGCTTCCATTTAAGTTTCAGCTTTTCTGGCCCAGTGGTTCTTGAGAAGAAGATTTTTCAAGATTTTTCTTATATATTTCAATGTAAAACTTGGATTCCCTATTGTGTCCCGCCCTACCCCTGGGGGTCATGATTTGAACAATTTAGATTCTACACTACCCCAGGATGCTTCCACTTAAGTTTCAGCTTTTCTGGCCCAGTGGTTCTTGAGAAGAAGATTTTTCAAGATTTTTCTTATATATTTCAATGTAAAACTTGGATTCCCTATTGTGGCCCCGCCCTACCCCCGGGGGTCATGATTTGAACAATTTATAATCTACACTACCCCAGGATGCTTCCATATAAGTTTCAGCTTTTCTGGCACAGTGGTTCTTGAGAAGAAGATTTTTAAAGATTTTTCTTATATATTTCAATGTAAAACTTGGATTCCCTATTGTGGCCCCGCCCTACCCCCGGGGGTCATGATTTGAATAATTTAGATTCTACACTACCCCAGGATGCTTCCACATAAGTTTCAGCTTTTCTGGCCCAGTGGTTCTTGAGAAGAAGATTTTTTAATGACCCCACCCTATTTTTGTCTTTTCCTGATTATCTCCCCTTGTAAGGGGACTTGACCCTTTATTTTAACAATTTACACTCCCCTTCACCCAAGGATACTTTGTACAAAGTTTGGTTAAAATTGGCTCAGTGGTTCTTGAGAAGAAGTTGAAAATGTGAAAAGTTTACAGACGGACGGACAGACGGACGGACGGACGGACGGACGGACAGACGGACGGACGACGGACAACGGGTGATCAGAAAAGCTCACTTGAGCTTTCAGCTCAGGTGAGCTAAAAAAAATTCACAGGTTCAAGATTAATTATTTACGAAATATATGCCATCTTGAAAGACTTTTAGGGTTTAACATATGTAGTGTTTATCACACAAAAAAGACACTGACTATGTCTTTAGCATTTTGATAATTTAATCAAAACTTAGAATAATTGCTTATAGAAATCAATAAGTATCCTATTGAATGTTAAAGTCTGCATATTGATGCCAGCATAATGGTAATCTAAATTGATAGATTTAATTTATGACTAAGATGAGATAAAGTTTGCCCATATTTATATATTTCCGATCACCCAGCGCGTTTTACTATGTATATTCTCGCATCCACAGACATGAGGCATAAAAGATAAGAGAAATTCTTGAATTAGTTAACTAATTTTGAAATAAAGAATTTGATTAGTAATATTATTATATTATGTTTTTGTAAAACAAAACTACTGCAGACTTTCTCTGTCACTCATGTTTGCATTGATTTCATGTTTTTCGAGATATGGTGATGATTAAGATATTCCACAGATCTTGGTATTGAACTAACGCATAGTGTTTTTAAAATAATTCTTTAGGACTTACTTAAAGCTGAATACGACTCGTAAATAGGGCATACGCAATATTCGATTATACTATCTACGATATCAGCACCGGGATATACCCTTCGCATTCGTTACACCTAAATGCTTTTATTGTCACGGGTATCGGCGTAGAATGGCAACACGTATTAGTGCTGGTTATCTTACAATATTTATATTTTCAAATATTCTTCTTAGGTGAATCTATTAAAGAGAAAATATGTTCAATTCTGTATGAACTTAGTAGAGGGTCAGAGGTCATAGCGTGACCGAATCACACGGCGAGATGATATCTTAATGCCTTCATATTTCTGTCACAATGAAACTGGTTTCGGAACTTTTAAGTTGATAGCGATGAAAAAGATGAAATAATTGAAACATGAATTTTTTTCATTAACAGATGTTCATTAAATCTTCCTTCGGTGTGCAGAATGTTAACTTTTTAACCCGAAATTCCTTGGTATGTAAACTGAAACAGACGATACCGCCGCTTTTGACTTCACAAGTATGAAGAACTCATAAAATAGTGAGATATTCTCTATAGCGATCATATATTGTTCTTTCATAATAAACAGAGATTTCCTTAACTGGACTAATATCAATGTAAATATTCAAATGTTGGAGCGAGGCGAACTTTCCAGACCATACAACTTCTAGGTCATTGCGCGACACAACATAACAATACGGCGGACTGTTCGTGTAATGCATGCAGTTCTATTCGGAAAATTCGTCTCAAATGTATCTAAGTAATAAAAAGGGATGTTAAAAAGTCTCTGGGAAATGAACATGGTTGGTACGTGATCAAATCTACTGAGAAGACCTTCGAGCTTCACAAGATTTGATCACGTGACCAACCAAGTTCATTTCCCAGAGAACCTTTTAACATTGTTGTTTATTTCTTAATTGCTTTTGTTTGTTTCTTTTTTAATGAAGTTACGTGTATTTTGTGTTTGTAATGTACACTGCACTGACCTGTGCAGCTTTTGAAAGTCTCTGGTATCTTACTCTCCCGCTGTAGTAGAAGAACGCAGTTATTTTTTGTTGCTACCGAGTACTGTGTAGCATGCGTCCGTCTACGCCGGTGACAACTGATAACACTGAACAGTGACTAAGTGAGCGGCTTATATAGGGGCCATCAGATATAGCGAGTGAATAATTGAATATGGCGGACAAATTCCTTTTACGAATCTTGTTCAGCTTTAAATAGAAGATGCAGTTACAAGCATTTTTTAAGGAAGGGGGGGGGGGGGGGATTTGGTCTTTAAAATAAGCTTAATAAAAATTTGATTTCAAAATATCAATAAATTAATTTCGTTAATTAACCAAATATGAACATTTTTTGATAAAAATTGAATACTGATAAATTAAAATTGGAAAAATTAAATAAATTGGTAAAACGTGATTTATATAAACCCCCAAGAAATTAAAAAAAAAATGGTAAAACATAGCAATCTAAACTGAGAATAGTAGTTCTGTAGTTAAATTCAATTAAACTATTGCAAAGAAGAGGTTTTATTTATTTTTATGCACTCGTAATCAAAACTTCGGGGGTGTTTAGTTTTTGCCCTGCCCCTCGGTCTCTCTAGCTATCCAGCTGTCTATCTGTCCGCAGTACCTTTTAACTTCATCATAACTTTTGATGGGTTTGAGATATGGCTTTCATACTTTATATTTATATTCCTTTTGATAAAACCTTTCTTAAGGTACCAACATATTTGACCTATTAACATTGACCTTGGAGTTTGACGGCCTTTTAAAGGAAAAATACCAAACTTTAACCTCGGCCTAACTTTTGAACAGTTTGTGCTAGGACTTTCATACTTCGTATGTGTATTCATTTTGACAAGACCTTTCATTTTGGTGTAAATATTTTGACCCTTTGATATTGACCTTGGATTGACCCACTTTTAAAAAACTTGAACATTGGCAATAACTTTGAACAGTTAGTGCTAGGGCTTTCATTGTTCACTTGTGTATTTCTTGTGAGATGACCTTCCCTGGGGTACCAACAATTCTGACCCTTTGACCTTGACCTTGGAGATTGACCTACTTTAACCTTGGCCATAACATTTGAAGGTTTGAGCTACGGTTTTCATATTTCACATGTGTATTTCTTGTGACAAGACCTCCACTTGGTGACCATTCATTTTGACCATTTTTCCTTAACCTTGACGTAGTGTGACTTACTTTTGAAAAACTTTATCCTTCACCATTACTTTGCAACGGTTGGTCATAGGGCTTTCATATTTTACGGGTATTTTTTGGAAACAAATCCTTTCATTGGGTACCAACAATTTTTATCTTTTGAACTTGAACTTAGAGTTTGACTTGCATTTGAAAAACTTGGACCTTCGCTATAAGCAGCCATATCAGTGTTTCAAAAACACATTTTGTTATTTAGGAAGTTGCATTAATATTCTTTGGCGTTATATTTCTTATTTGTCAAAATTGTGTATGTTTTTATATTTTACTATTCGATGCGGAAATAAAGCGAAAATACTTTTTAACGTCGTGTAATCTGTAAATGAACGTCATATTACAGTCAGGTTCGAAGTGATGATGAGTAAAGTGAGATTCCCATTCCTAAGAGAACCAAAAAAGCGCGTCCGAACATTGTTTCCAGAAACCTGGTTTTGGTTAAATAAAACAGCAAGGTATGTGTAAAATATGTATATAACTGTCATGTAAAACTGAAATGTAAAGAAAACGAACAGTGGTCACTAATTTTGAGCAGAGCTAACACGGACCTCTGAAAACAGAGGTGGTATCAGGTGCCATGGAGGAGTAAGCATTACCTGTCGACCGGTTACACATGCCATGTGCTCCTTGTCATGTTTGCCTAAACGGAAAAATCTGTAGAAAGTGAAAAAATTACCTAACAGCTTGTATGAAAGACGTCAGCCTCGTCAACATTCCTTATAATGACAGATTGATGACAAGTAATTCTATCGAATACAAAATTGACAAAATGTTGACTTTAAACGAGATTGTTCTCATATTTGTATCAACAACTTATTTTTACAACCCGCCTTGATTTAGAAAATGTTCTTACGTAAGATATGCTCTTATGTATATAATCAACTGGGAGGCATAAACTTCATATGCAGGTGTTAACTGTACATTGCAAAATGAATTATGGAAGTTGACAGTAGAGAAGTTGAAGTCATCAAGTATATCATAAAGGTGTTAGTATCAATGCCCATTTCTTGTGAAATATCCAAATATGAAACAGATGTGATCCGTTGTGTTCTCTATTTTGAATACATTGGGATATATGGTATCAAAGTTTTAATGAATCTGATTATTTTTAACTGATAAAACGTCGTTTTAAAATTGAAATATCAAACTGAACATTAGAAAAGAGAAAGAATAATAAAATATATGGGGGAGTGGGGGGACTGTGTGAGGGGGGGGGGGTGTATGTATATACAGGTTAACGCTAGATGGTACAATGTACAGGTAGGCGAACACGAGTTATTGTTCATAGTACGAGTTATCGTTCATTATGTAGTTAGATCTATTCACTCGTACGTGGAATATTCGTCATGTATTAAAATACATGTATACGGAAATAAATGAAATATTCTTAATCAATATTAATATTCACAGGTAATTTTCATTTATTTCACTGGCAATTTACAATTGGTAATTATATATTAAGTCGTTCAGGTAAAAGTAGAAATACTAATCCACATAAACAATGTATCCATTTGAATTAATCATCAAATATGGATAAATTGATGACAAGCGTGGATTTATTCAAATTCAAAATAAAATTCGTTGAACTATATTATTAGATGTATTTTTTTTTCAATATTCATTTGTTTTTTGATTGATGCAATGTTTATGTGTATTCGGAATAGAAAATCCGCGGGGGGTGGGGGGGGGTGTTATTATCCCCTGCAAACAGGCACGTATCGTTAAAAATGAACATTTAAAAAAACATATGTCTAGAGGCTGCTTTAAGATCCCGCCCCCATTTTTCCAGCCAATCCAACCCTGATGACCTATGCTCGGCACTTAGGTCCATTGAGCAGTGAGGGATCTTTTTCGTGCCAGCACCTAGTGGGATACGGGACCTCGGTTTATATGGTCTCATCCGAAGGACCGGTCTCCACGTCCCGCAGTGGACCAATTCGAACCCGCGACGTAAGGATCAACTCCTTACTCCGCGACTCTAGAGCAGACGCTCTTACCCCCATGCAGGCGACGATTCCATAATTGAAAGATGGATTTTTTTTTTAATCGACTCAAGTTGTACGATATCAATTACTGTAGTATTTTTTTTTTTTTAATTTTAATAATATACTCATACCTAAACTACTAATGAGAAATATGCCTATATTAGTAAAGAAACATTTTCTATCTTCTTCTGATTTCAAAAGTTTTTTTTTATTTTATTTTACCTGAAGATTTTATTTTCACACAAAACTCACGGTTTACCGAGGTATATCCGAACGCAATACAGCAAGACATTTGTTAATCTATCAACTTATATTCCTCGTCATTTGCTACTCCCAACTTTTCTAGCTCATGTACATTTCACACTAGGTGATTTCGAGCTATTTTTTCCCTCGAAAGTACTAATATATATATTTCTAAACAATGCACCTAATTTCTCTACCTATTTTTGACAGGTATCAGATTAATGTTAGACATTTGTTTGTTTCTTTAACGCCCCTTCGAGATTGTTCACTCATATTGAGACACCAGCATTTACCGGTGGAGGGCTGCAAATTTAGACCTGAACTTGGCACTCAGGGCCTTTTTAGCAGTGAGGGATTTTTTTTCTTCTACCGCGACTCGGGACTTCTGTTTATACCGTATCATCCGAAGAACCAATCTCTACGTCCCGTGAAGTGAATGGAACTCGGGCGACAATTTAAACTGATGTTATAGATGTCATTATCCCAAAATCCCTGAATTATGTATCATCTGAGAGTACCTCATAAACTACGCTTAACCTACATCGCACAAACATAGGGATACTGTCTTGATCCCAGAGGGTTTTTTCCAAGCTATCCGTACCTTTAAACCAGCTAAAAACTAGCATAATATACACTATTCACCTATATATTTTGGACAGTCCCAGATTAATTAACATTGCAGATATATACTAGATTTCAGATGATTTCTCTTATCTACGCAGTGATGAAGCATCGTTTTTGAAAGGGGAGGGGGGAGGGGAGCCAGAGTTGACAAAAAAGTTGACAAGCAGATAAAAAAGAAGGAAAATTGCCCAAACTCGAAAATCCTATTTCGTAGGGGAAGGGGGGGGGGGTATAATTACAACATCTTACAGTACCAAATTTTATTAATACTATACAACATCATCCGTATTTGACCTTTACTGTAACAAAAAAGTGGGGGGGGGGGGAGGGGACAACTGGCCTTTCAAAGAGCATTTTCAATATAAAGAAGTTATGTTTGGAAAAAAGTTGGGGGGGGGGAGCCCCTCCCCCCCCCCCCCGTTCCTACCTGCCTCCTACGTTAGTTTGTACATGTTTCAGCTAATATTCCTGCAAAAAAGGCTAATATTCTTACAGACCTATGACAGTCAAATGGTTAATTAAACATAAAGATATTACGCTCTCTCAAAATGTTTCTCCCATGCATCTACGTAGAATGTGCATGCTGAATTCATTTTAGCATATCCTGGAAAAATTACGATCTGAAATCCCAGATCAGTATACGCTTCTAATCAAAATACTTTTGCTTTTAACAAGATTAACATGAAAATATAGCCCTGATCGCAGATAATTGTAGCTTGTACCAGCTTAAAAAACTGTACAATATCCACCATTTCTCTACGTACTCTGGATGGAAACAATATTTATTTAAGAAAATAATCTTGATCCCAGACATTTTTTGTCATCTACCTCTAGTTTCATCAAACTAATAGTCCAAGACAATACCCTACCTTCTATGGAGAGTCCAAAATAAATTTAACCTGAAGATACGTCCCTGATTTCAGAGCTTTCTCCCACCTACCTGTGCATTGTACCAGATAATATCCCTGTTAAATATGCACCACAATCCTACCTGCCATTGATACATGCAGAATATATTTGGTATTAATAATATTACACTGATTTCGAAGGGTTTCCCCAACCTACCTGTAGCTTGTACCAGCTAAAAGTCTAGGTCAAAACTCGGTAATACCCTACCTTCTATGGAAAGTAAAAAGTTAAAACTTACATCAAGATATGTCCCTGATCTCAGTGCTTTCTCCCACCTACCTGTACTTTGTACCAGATAATATCCCTGTTAAATATGCACCACAATCCTACCTGCCATTGATACATGCAGAATATATTTGGTATTAATAATATTACACTGATTTCGAAGGGTTTCCCCAACCTACCTGTAGCTTGTACCAGCTAATAGTCCAGGTCAAAACTCGGTAATACCCTACCTTTTATGGAAAGTCAAAAGTTAAAACTTACATCAAGATATGTCCCTGATCTCAGTGCTTTCTCCCACCTACCTGTACTTTGTACCAGATAATATCCCTGTTAAATATGCACCACAATCCTACCTGCCATTGATACATGCAGAATATATTTGGTATTAATAATATTACACTGATTTCGAAGGGTTTCCCCAACCTACCTGTAGCTTGTACCAGCTAATAGTCCAGGTCAAAACTCGGTAATACCCTACCTTTTATGGAAAGTCAAAAGTTAAAACTTACATCAAGATATGTCCCTGATCTCAGTGCTTTCTCCCACCTACCTGTACTTTGTACCAGATAATATCCCTGTTAAATATGCGCCACAATCCTATCTGCCATTGATAAATGCAGAATATATTTTGATATTAATAATATTACACTGATTTCGAAGGGTTTCCCCAACCTACCTGTAGCTTGTACCAGCTAATAGTCCAGGTCAAAACTCGGTAATACCCTACCTTCTATGGAAAGTCAAAAGTTAAAACTTACATCAAGATATGTCCCTAATATCAGTGCTTTGTCCCACCTACCTGTACTTTGTACCAGATAATATCCCTGTTAAATATGCGCTACAATCCTATCTGCCATTGATACATGCAGAATATATTTTGGTATTAATAATATTACACTGATTTCGAAGGGTTTCCCCAACCTACCTGTAGCTTGTACCAGCTAATAGTTCAGGTCAAAACTCGGTAATACTCTACCTTTTATGGAAAGTCACTAGATAAATTGTACATGAAGATATGTCCCTGATCGCAGTGCTCTTAGAAGACAGACTTTAGCAATCTCCTGTTTACTGCCAATTTTATTTATAAAACCGGTTCTTCCCTAAATAACCTATGAGTAGGTCAACCTACACCACGTGTCTTGAATTTAAATCACAACAAGCAAATTCAAAGAATTGTGGTCCCCCGCTTTCGGTGTCTTTGTGGGTGAGGAGTCATTATTTATGGCATATCGTTCAGAAGTTATCACCAAAGCTGAACTTTTTGAAAATTAGGTCAATCGTGAAGGTCAAGATCAAGGGGTCAGATATAGCATGCTCGGAAATATCTAGTCACAGGTAATGCAGAGTTCAAATATGAAAGGCCGTTCTCTTCTCAATCAGAAGTTATAAGAAAAATTAACATTTTTGAAAAGTAGGTCAAACTTCAAGGTCAAGGTCACGAGATCAAAAACTATAGTGTATTTAGAAAG